TCCTGCTGACATAGCTCGCTGCTTGGATTATTTGGCTATTGGACTGTTTTTCTTGGTGTCGTCGTAATTTTTCTGGAGTATTCAGAGTAAACAGTCATCTGTGGTATTTATATGTTTACTCTGATAAATACTTGTGTACCAAGTAGCATGTGATCTGCCCTTTTGCCCACATTATTTTTGCAACATGTATAAAGTCTACAAAGACTTTGCTACTTAGAATTTTTAGTTCTTTGTATTCCATGTAGTTTTTACTGTGTATTATATGCACACAAGTGTAGAAGAATCTAAGAATCAGTGTTTGAAGAATCTGTCTCATTGACTAGCTTTAAAGGTGAAAGTTACTGCAGCCTGCCGTCATACTCAGTATTACTGATGAACAGGACCAGCATGATGGGCTAAATGTGATACAGGTATGACTTCAATGAGAAATGTCCCCCAGGATTGCAGCCCAAACATTCATGTTGCAGAACAGATGTGCAGAAATTGCTAGCTTGCTACTTAAGACTCACCAGCTTCTAAAAGTGTAGAGAATGCAGTTGGTGGCAAACAAGATTGTACCGGCAAACATGCATAACAGAGCTGCGTGCCACTGCTGACCCACCTGGGCTGCACAGGAATGCTTCTGCAATTGGAGAATAAGCTTTGTACACACACAATTTAACTTTGAATTTATACATCCTCAAAACTAAGGACTTGTTGTGAGGCATCATGGAATATTAGGGAGCCCATGTTGTTACGTAAATTCCATGGTGTCTCTGAGCATTAAAGCAAAGAATTTGCTTGGGTTGTCCTGCACATGATTGTTGTCTGCTGTCTCCAGCTGCTCGTTGTTGTATGTGAGAGGGGCTGGAGGAGCAGGAACTTCAAGAAGATGTTGCACCTAATTTAACACTTAGGCAAATGGAAAAGGTAAATTCCTTTATTCCTGTGTTGTTAATTCTGTTTGCAACTGCAGCCTGATTTCTGTCATGGTAGATGTCCCCCTAAATCTACCCAAACCATGATCATCTTTTTCCAGGAGGTTTAAGGCAGAAAAGGCTTGTTTTGTTTTTTTTTTTAAGATCTGGTGATTTTTAAAGGTAAAAGATTGGAACAGCTTATATTGCCAATTAGAACTACGTGTCTGTCTCCTGGGCTTGGCAACTCAATGTAAATGTTCCTCTAGTTACAGAATGTAAAAGAGAAAACAGACTATTCTTCTCTCAGAACTTGGGCAACAGAATTTTGGAAGCCTAATGACTGTACTGCAATTACAAAATAGGGTTTTCTCTTTCTAAAATTGAGCACTACGGATTACTGTATGAACAACCCTGCCATCTGAAATTCTGTGTGAAAAAAATTCAAGCATCACCTCCCCAAAACTGGATAAAGGTTGGCACTAGTACTGATAAATTGCATATGTAATTAGCATTCAAATTCTCTTTACTCACTGTGTTGCTGTTGGCACCTAACATCCATAGGACAGAGGGAAAAGACTCATTTAGACTTCACCACTGTTTTTTTCAAAGCGCAGAAATAGTGACCAGTCGATAGGATATCTGCCAAAATGTATCACCATCCAGGGTGGTTTTTCAAAATTAGGCTAGTATGGACTTCTTAGGCTCTTGCTGAGAGTAACAAAAATCTGACTATCTTTGTAGGGTAGGTGATAAACAATTTCACCTTCACAAGATTTTTCTACTTTAATCTGTGAATAATCTGCTTGTATGAAGCAGAAATGAAGTTGTAGAAAATATACTCTTTGCAGCAACTTTCAGGAGTTGGGTCCGTACCATTAGAATTAAAAGTTGTTGAGATAGTTTGTGAGGTTTCCAATCCTGTCACCTGATTGGGAGAGTAATGGACAAGCACATGGTGGGAAGCTAATAGAGCAAAGCTTTCTGGAAGCATTTTAATGTTGGCTTTGGTTTAAAGCACAGGCTATTATATTCCAAGGTAGTCCATAAGTTTCCATCTCTGTATTTCTTGGCTAAGGCTACATCAAAGTTTCTTTACAGAGAAGACAGGATTCCAAGCAATTGTCTAAATTAACCATGAAAACCTGATGAAGCTATTCCAGAGTCCCACTGTCAGGTACCATAGCTGTTGAATCCTGCAACAGTTAACACAACTGAAGCATTAATGGGTTACTGGCTGGGGTCTTGTAGCAATGCTTTCTGCAGTAGATGCAGTGAGGGATATGTTCAACGTAACAATCAGATGCACTGTCATGTGCAAAGAGTATGTCTCTGGTGCCTGTTATAGTCTTTCCAAATGTTCACCAGTATCTGAATTGAGCCAATTAATATTACATCAGCACCTGTATAGATCTTTTAGTAATGTGCTATCATTTCTCCTATGCTTAAGAAACAAGAATCCACTTATTTGTTGCTTAGAAATCCAAAATATTATTATTTAATTTTTTTTTACTATCTTTGAATTTGTGGGGATAGTTCTAGCTGTTGCTAGTAAGTACAGCCAGAATATTTTCTCAACTACATATATTAAATTGATGATTTTAAATTCTTAAAATGGCTAAATTTAATCTTACTAGTTAGACATTCACCTTAATTAAAACCAAGTATCAGGCTTTCAAGTGAGTTAGTGTTAAACAAGTTGTTGATATAAAAACCCCAGTCACAAATTATTCCGGTGTTGGCTTCTGAACTTATCTTTTGCCTGTCCATAAAGAATACTGTGTCAAGGCAATCAAAATAAATGTAACTTAGATCATATTTTTGTTGTATTGGAAGTTACTGTTCTGTTTTAGATATTGTCCAACTAAAACAACTTCACGGGTGCTAACTATAGTATAATGCAGGATGTATTTTTGAAAATAAATGCCGTTAAAGCATATGAAGTATTTCAAGTAAAGCATGTTAAATATTTCAAGTGTATTGTATAGTTGTTTTCCTTTTAATTATCTTGAAATTAAATATGTATAATCAGTGCAGCAGACTACACAAGTTCCTGTATACCACATGACTATATGACAAAGAGCATACCTCATCCCTCTCCCTCTCTGTTTTGCCATCGGTAATGCTTAGTAGGATGCATGATTCATATCGTACAATAGAGAGAGAAAAGCCTGTCCCAGCACCCTGAGCCCTGCTACTGACAGGGCAGCACACAACTCTCATACATCTAAATAGTCATAGTGTTGGTTTTGATCAACTGCAGTGGAAAGGAACAGTGTTTTTCTTTGCACTTCCACTTAGCCACTTGATAATACATCTGTAAACATCCATGAAACACTTCTTTTCTTGTCACGATTGTAGCCATTGCCAATTATATTTTTCTTTTCTGCAGGCTGCTCTGACTCTTCCACAGAGACCACTTCTTCATTGTTCTACTGTGATTCCTGTTGTGGCTCTGACATTAAAGTTTATTATGCACCTTTTCAGGCTTAAGGATTCATGGTGCTTTCTTCCCTGGATGTTGTTCCTATCCTGGACTTCTCATCACGTCCGTGACGGGATTCGTCACGGCCTCTGGATCTGCCCATTTGGAAAAACTCCTCCTTTGCCATATTGGCTGTATGTGGCAATTACAGCATCTTTACCTCATCTATGTTCTTTTATTATGTATTTAACAGGCACAAGAGAATTAATGTCTATAAAACACGGAATCCGCATTGATGTATAAGAATGATGGCTCTTAAAGGTTGTTTGTATTAGCATTGAAGTAAGCTGTCTGTTTATCACTGAAGTGGTTTCCTTATGGTTTCCTTACGACTTCCGAGTTAGGCATTTGAAGCCTGTGGAGCCAGTTACAGCTCCTGTGTCAGTTCTGTGTGGTCACAGAAACCTATTTCATGAATGGTAATAGTTTTATATCTATGCATTCCCCTTGTAAAATGTGTGGTCTTCCATTATAGTTCATGCATAGCTGGCTGATTTATAAAGTACTTAGTCTCTCTCTGTAGTAATTACATTACATTTTACTGTCATGGTACCGTTCATCTGATCACCATTCGCTTTGGATTTGTATTCTACCCTTAGGTAATACATTTCATCTAGATAGCATTTGTATAGCACTTAAAAAATGTAAAGTACTATATAAATGCTAACTATAAGTGAGAATTTAGTAGTGTGTGGCACTTCTAAAAAATACCAGTTAGCCTTTTGAGTGTATTTATTTGTTTTCCTGCTGGACTCTTGTATACAGCTGTTTTAAAAGAAAAGCTGTTTATATTTCACAATGTGCAACTGTATATCTGCGCCTCTTTGAACACTGCTATCATACAGTGTTTCTACTAAATTCTATTCCACTGTAGTTGCTTGGTACTCAATTTGCAGATAATTACTAGCTACTATTTGTAATTAGAAAGGAGAAGATAGTTTGGTTACAGTATTATGTGTGTTGGCCAAATTGTTTAATATTAAAATATACTAATTATGAATATTATTTAATTTGGAAGTGAGGAATTTTAGTAAATATTTAAGGATTGTGTAAAGGCAAACTTATTTATTACAGTAAAACGTAAGCTTTAGGGAAGATTCAGGAAGTTATAAGAAAATCAAAATTGCTCAAAATGTGAGTTTGCTTAAAGACGTTACTACTGTACTTAGAAACAGTATTTTCCATTAAGTGCAATGTCATCCTTATTATTGTAAAATAAAACGCATTATTATTGTGCAGAAGTAGAAATTTCCTCTTAAGTAAGTTCCTTAAGGAAAAATGTTATTATGTTGCAGGTTCATAACATAGTAATTTTCACTGTGGACTATTCAAAGTAACAGTTTTCATTTACAGAAATTTCTCAGAAAATGTCCCAAAGTAAAAATGAAGCTCTTGTCTAGTTTACAGTGTACAAGCTGAGAAATGCCTATTAGTAATTGTTTTGTTAATTTGTTATTCATTGAACTCCATTACCCATTAAGGAGATGGGGCCTTAATTATTGCAGTTTGTGATGAATAGCTGTCAAAAGGGATTATTTTTATGGAGGAGCATGTGCTGAACTTAAGTATCAAAGGGTGCAAAGATGAGGTCATGTGTTCATACTACATTTATGTTAGTAAAGGTATATTAGTATAAAGTAGAAAAAATTACAGAAAATACGAACTGGGATTGCTGGCTTAATGGGTACCAGAGACCTTCTATGGCTGCAAAGTACTAAAGGCTCTCTGTAGCACACTAAGCTAATTACGGAAAGTGTTTCACCCTTTTAAATAAATGTGCCTTCCCACAAAAAGAATGTTTTGCCCTATTTGTTCTTCATGTTAGAAATCTATGCTTATGGAAGCTTCTTTGACATTACAGTGGGCCTGTTTAGCCTTTATTATAAAACGATAAAAAGTTTTTTTCTTGGAAAGAAGATTGGAAAAACAGGACACTCCTTAAAGGATTATCCTCATACTGTGGATTTCTGTCTTTTATAGTATGTAAAAGTTTCCCAGAAACAACATCGGAAGTGTCTTGCTTTAGAGCCCTCAGAGCAGGAACTATCTTTTATCCAAAGGCATGATGGTTTACTAGAGGAAGAGCATTGCTCGTTCATTTACTTCTAACCTGTATTTTAAACTATAGGCTATGAAATGCCAATAATGAATATATTTTGTGCAAAAAGTGAACACTTAAATCCATGTCGAAAATTTTCTATGTTCTTGTTTCATGGTATAATATTTGTATAATTTTGTGCTTTATCCAGGTTTGTTGCAAAGGGAAATGTATATAAGAACAAAGTGGAGAATTACACTTTCTCATTTTTAGATTGTAACTGTAGCATTTTTGGTAACTATATGTCCACCAATAGTCCTTAAGATTGTACTGTTGAACTGTACTGTTCTAGCTATGTTTAAGGATCAGTTAATGGGTACATTTTCAGTAGTTTAAAAACACATATTTTCATTCTCTGTATTTATAGCGGATTTTGTGGCGGTTTTTACTATATTTTTCAGCTGTATTTCAAAATATTATTTTTCTGGTCATGTTCTTATACCATTTCTACCACAGCAATAGATGAACACCACTTAGAAACATATTAAGGAAAGTAGCAAGCACTTGTGGCACCTGACTTCTTTCTCTCTCCCTCCAAACAGACATGGCAGTCTCATGCCTCATCCTGACATTTAGGCAACTTTAGTTCAGGACATTGACAACTTTTTGAAGTAAACTGACATGTTGCATGTAATGCTGTAATTTGTGGGTAGCCAGATTACAGAACAAAGGAGAAGTTAAGTATTTGTTTCAGCCCATGTCATCTAGGAGATACACCTGCCTATTACGAATGAATTTCCTAACGGTTTCGTACCAGTATTTCATGTACATTTCAAATTCATTGATATTTCCAGCTATGCATTGATACCTGCCACGTGTAGCAAAACCATGGCAGAAATAAACCAAAATACTAAAAACATAATGAATTTGTGCTTTACTGCATGCATTACAATAAAGAGTAAATGTGAAGTACAAAAAGCATGTGAATTACATAAAAAATTGTTAACAAACTCAAGCTAATAATTTCGTGCACAATGTATGATACATATCACTAAAATATTAGTTATTTCAGTGATTCATTTACTATGCTAATCTAAACTTTTTCCATGTATTTTCAAGTTGTACTTACAAAGTTGAAGGAAGTGTGGGGTTTTTCTGACTTACTTTTTTGTTAGAACAGTGCTGCTTTTTTTCCTTCTTTAATGGATTGCTGTTGTAAAAAGTAGGTACTAATAATTGCCAAGTTAAAAGAAAAATGTTAGAATGTTTCTTCTCCCCAGTCCTCTAGAAATAGGATAAAATTTCTCCTAATTCCCTAGTGGCCTTAACAGAAAGCATGAACGTATTTCCTATCAGTTTATATTCTAGTTTAAAATGTAATCTGTATTTTTGCATGACTACTGGTATCACTTTTTTCTACAGTGAAGTATATTGTATCATGTGCCTTTAACTGGTTATTGATAAGTGAGTTATTCATAATTGATGCCATGCTCCAGGGAAAATGCTGGTGAGTTTGAAATAACTTCAATAGCCAGACCATTGGTATTAGCTTATTATCAAAAGAACATTTCCTTTGCTAACGGAAATAAGGTTCAGGAAGAGACACAGAGGGAAGGGGTTAAAATTCAGTCTAAAGGAAATGTTAGTACATAGTTAATTTTGAACACATATATTTTTATTCCATCAGCTACTGTCAGTATGAAGCTACATGATTAAATGCATCAGAAGAGTACATTTCTGGTTGAGTAATTGAGCCAATCTAACTTCTGTCAATTATGCAGATTTATTCAGGGCAGAAAAATTTTGTGTTGCTATGTATTGTGTTACATAGCATGGGCTTTGGACAATTGGTAATTTTGATTCCACAAGCTAGGTTTTGTTTCCCTGCTACAGACAGACCTTGCATTGAAACAAAAGAAGAGCTGTCAGGTTAAAGTACCCTTTGCATTCATTACAAAAAACCAGTACTAACATTTTTTCTCAAAATAATAAATTGCTGCCTTCAGTTCTTTCTTAAAATTCCCCAAATTTTATGTCCTCTACATTGAATTACAAATTTGAATGCTGTATTGTAGAACTGTTTTCTGTTACTTACAAACCCACTATTAAAGATAAATGGTACTTGTATTTGTATATATATCACACACTGATCTTTCCTTCTGTGTTCATATAATCATTTTCCATTTGCTTAACCTAATTTTGTATTGAATTTTCTTGGGGTAAGGAGGAGTGTTTGTTTCAATGACTGGGAAACCCAGGTATGCTACTACTTAGCAACAACATTTTAATGCAGTGTTAGGGAAATCTTCAGAATATTGAAAACTAGAAAAGAAATTATTCTGTATTCCTTTTGATGGAAATGTTAAGTAGATTTCTAGGCAGTTTGTAAAAACAGATTTGTTTAATCAAAACTAATTGACTGAAAACATTTGTATTAGTAAATATGAGTGAATAATCTATGTGAAACTGAATTTGTATACTGAAACTGTTGAGGGGTAATTGACCAAGTCAGACTGTATGCTGTTGCCATATCCACCACAGAAACAATTCCTTCGTCCAAGGAATGTTACTAATATCCCTGGAGCCTCCCCCATGTTGCCAAGGGAATTCAAACTTACTTTGACCTTAGTAGTTTTTCCCCTTAAAAATTGCATAACATTGAGTAAGGGTTCCTGGACTGGTGTGGGGTAGTTTCCTTGATCTGCTGTCCACTCCTTCACAACAATTTTTACAGATGAGCCAAAAAAGCTCTTAGCTGTGAGTCCTGGTACAGGAACTGTGGTAAAGAAATGAAACCAACGATAGCAGACACACCAATGGCATAAGAAATTTACAAGGTTATAATGCTGCTAGTTTCACTTTTACATTTCAGTTTAAATTGCTGATAGTCAGAGAAAACCAACTTCTTTTTATATATTACTGCCAACAATTTAGAAGCAAATTTTGTGATGACTGTTCTAAAAATACGACGTGTTTCTGGGCCAAATGAATTCTGAAAGATTCAAGTAGTAAGGCTTTTTCAATATATTTTCAACAAAATAATTATGTCTTTTTTGTTCATTTAACGGTATATAATGTATAGACACAAGCACTTAGTTTTTTCCCAGTCTTACCGTAGAAGCATGGTTGGGGCCTGCAGAGTTTTGATACAGAATACTCTAGCTAGCAAAACCTTTTAGCACAAGTAATTTTTGTTTTATTAGTCCCTGGAGAGATAGATCTTCCTTTCTTCAAGACGTGTTTTGTTAACGTGCAAGTTTGAGTGATTTGTCAGCATCTTTTGGGTGAATGTTCTGTATGCCTTGTACATCAAACATAAATAAGCAAAGCAAATGCACAACTTCATACCATAAAAATGTATGCACATGATTCATTTATAAATTTTTCCCAAAGTAAAAACAATTTAACATGCTCTTGCATCTTGCATCATGCATCTTGTACGAGTCTATGTAAATGCTGACCAAGTGGTATTTCTAATAATTTTATATGGCTACAGAGACACCAGCAGTGTTTCGTGTGCTCTCCTGGTGCTTGACTTACCTCAGGTTGGATGAAAAGTACGCTTCTGCTTCAATATACCTGACCCAGGTACCTCAGCAGCGTAAATGGTAGACATCTATC